GCATCGGGCAACTTTCTAAGTTAAAGAGCATAGATCTTTATGACAATCAATTGAGTGGGAGTATTCCAGATAGCATCGGGCAACTTTCTAAGTTAGAGATCATAGATCTTTCTGACAATCAATTGAGTGGGAGTATTCCAGATAGTATCGGGCAACTTTCTAACTTAGGGAACATAGTTCTTTATGGCAATCAATTGAGTGGAAGTATTCCAGATAGCATCGGGCAACTTTCTGAGTTAGCGAGAATAGATCTTTCTAACAATCAATTAAGCGGGAGGATTCCAAATAGTATTGGACAACTTTCTAACTTAGGGATCTTATATCTTTCTAACAATCAATTTGGAACAGGATTTCCTGTATGGCTTGAATTACAAAAGGCAACAATCACAGTTGATCTCTCTAATGCTAGCATCTCAGGTCCTCTTCCAAAAAACATAAGTCTTATGATGCCAATGTTGGAGGGATTATATCTTGCAAATAACCTCATCAATGGTTCAATTCCAAAGTCACTATGCAATTTAAAATATTTGCGAGGACTTGATCTCTCAAATAATATGTTATCTAGAAATATTCCAAAGTCGCTATGCAATTCAAAATCTTTGGGACTTCTTGATCTCTCAAATAATATGTTATCTGGAAATATTCCAAAGTCGCTATGCAATTCAAAATCTTTACAACTTCTTGATCTCTCAAACAATATGTTATCTGGAAGTATTCCTAATTGTTGGAGAAACAATCAACCATTCCATTATATTGATCTATCTTCTAACAATCTCTCGGGTTTATTTCCGAGCAAAATGGCACAACTTTCTTCTTTATTTGGACTGCACTTGAACAACAATAGTCTCTATGGGGGATTACATGTGGCCTTGAAAAACTTCACTTTTTTACGGATTTTGGATTTGGGTGAAAATAAAATTTCTGGAAATTTAACAAGCATTTTAGGGAGCAAGATCGGCAACTACTCTTTAAAGGTTCTTCGACTGCGAAAAAATTTGATTTCCAGTTATATTCCTTTGGAACTATGCTCTCTCTCTCATTTGCAAATTCTAGATCTTGCAGAAAACAATCTGATAGGAAGAATTCCTCCTTGTTTTGGAAAATTTCCAATTATGGTGAATGCAACACAATTGATCTATGAGAGCAATAATGTACATTGGTATTCTGCAACTTTGAGGGAAGTTGTTAAAGGGAGATACCTTGAGTATAAAAGCAAACCTCTGAGATTTGTGACTATTATAGATCTTTCGAGTAACAATCTAATAGGATCCATACCAGAGGAGCTAATTTCCCTCAAGGATTTGCACAATTTGAATCTGTCTTGGAATCATCTCTCAGGACAGATCCCTGAGAAAATTGGACGAATGGAGAATTTGGAATCTCTCGATTTCTCCAAGAATGGCCTCTCAGGAACAATCCCAAGTAGCATGTCAAGTTTAACCAAGTTAAGCCGCCTCAACTTGTCCTACAACAACTTGTCAGGGCCAATTCCAATAGGTTATCAGCTCCAAACACTTGAAGATCCAACCATGTATGTAGGCAATCCTCAACTCTGTGGAGCTCCACTTATGAAGAAATGCTTAACTGATGCACTACCTCCGACAACCACCGACTTCAAGGACAATGATGAAAGTGCACTTAAAAAAATGTGGTTTTACATTATCGTGATGTTAGGCTTTGCAATTGGGTTTTGGGGAGTTGTGGGAGCTTTGATTTTCGTGAAAAGTTGGAGATATGCTTACTTTCAATGGGTGGATGATGTCCAACACTGGATACTTGTGATTATAACATTGAAGGTGGCACGATTCAAAAAGATGTTCAATGGCAACCCAAGATGATCAATGAATTATATATAAAGTATGTTGTTGTTGCTACATTTATTATTAAGTTAGTTAAACAACCTCATGTTGTAGGGTATGGTGTCAGGTCCAACTTTGAATGGTCCAATATTGAATAGGTCAATTTTAAATGAACACATAAGGATTAGAGCTTGTAAAATTTTTGATAATATAACAGAGGCTATAGTTCCATACGTTTCACAAAAATCAAAATACATAGATTCTAACAAAAAATAGAGAATTCTATGAAAGGCTTTTAGATTGCATGAATTTCTATCTTTCCAATTTTGTTAAAAAAAAAAAAAAAAAAGAAGCAAAAGATGAGAGAATGAGATAGGAAAAATGGCTCAGTTAAGTATACAATAATAACTAAAATAAAGTCCTTACATATTCATAGTCAAAGTTTGGAA